TTGGACAGGACTCGCACAACACGTTAGTCTTACAGTGTCAGAACACAAGGTACGTTATCATAAACGTTATTATTCTACAAGTTTTAGCAATGCAAAGTGAATAAGCTTTTGTTCAGCCTGAGAATGTTAGACTTGTTGAGGAGCCTACAGTGGCTGCAGATCACGAAGCGGAGGCTGCTGAGGCTGAGCGCCAGGTCAGCCATGACAAGCCTCAGAATCCATGGCCCCACCTGCAGGACTTCTTTGTCTTTAAGTCTGCAGATAAGAGGAATGCCAACCTCATGCTTTTCCGATGTGTCCTGTGCCAGCCCAAAGAGACAACCATCAAGGGACACTTGTCAAGCCTCTTCAACTTGAAGTCACGTGTTGAGAGGAACCACCCAGCCAATGCCATCCAGTTTGAAGAGAGGATCAAGGCCGGCTCTTCTCGTGGAAAACATGGGCAATCTTCTTCTGGTAGCAGTGGCCGGAGCAGCAGCCAGTCATCGCAGCCAAATGCAAGGAAAATATGCCAGCTGACCCAGCCCAGCATTAAGGAGGCGTTTGGTCAATCAGCTGCTGGCACTGGTGTCCGTCAGTCTGTGGTGGACACAAGAATTGAGGACCTGTTCGTCTGCAACATGCTACCGCTGCATGTAGTGGAGTCCCCCACCTCCATCTGACTGATTAAGACGCTTTCAAGGCTGAAAGTTCAGCTCTCTAGACCTGTTTCTCAGAGTTTCACCCCCCCACCAAAAAAAATTAAGCCAAATCTAAATTTATATACCGTCAAACGGGGTAAAAAGGGACGGTTCTGAGCGTTTTTTGTTAATAACTTCTTACAATGAAACATTTCAGAAACAAGTTTAGGCTCATTTTATAGCTCTTTGCGAGGGCTATTGAATGGCATCTTCAAAAAAATTCCATATGCTATTTGTAAGGCACTAGATGCAATATAAAAGGCTGCTGAATTAATTTTGAAATGGGGTAAAAAGGGACACTTGAAATAAAACTCAATTTCAAACATTTGAAGCAAGCAGAGTGTACTCATCTATTACTAACAGTACTCTGAAGTCCTCCTCTTTCATTGTAGATTATGTAGATGTAAAATAAATGACATTTTCTGTGATTTTTACTTGTTTTTCCTTTATTGATATGATATTACCATATTCATTAATTACTGTATTATTAATGTGATATTACTGTATCCATGGACATGCCATTGAGCATTAACAAGAACCTTGTCCACTGCAAGCTTCATATCAGCAGCCATGTAGCATTTCTTCTGTATCTGTAAGCTTACAGGATGGTTTGTAATTTTGCACAATTTTAATCGAGTCTAGTGATTTCACTATAACAAAAAAGATCAGGAAAAACGTACCTGAAACAGAAAATAATGTTTTAGTGACAACCATATGTTTTGAAAAAATAAATCATAGTTTAGGTCAATTACTTTTCATTCTATGATGCCTGGTGCACAATTCTATGTATAGCATTCTATGTACAATTTTGTGATGACTGATGATGCACTAATTTTTTGATAAGTGAATTTTTTTTGCCAAGCGAGGTAAAGGTAATCAAAATTCTTTGTTGTTAATCAATTTTTTTGTTAACTGGAGCCTTCACTAACTGAGGTTCTACTGTAAATGCATTTTAAAGGGTGTCCCTAATTACCCTGGGGGATGTCCCGAGTAGCCCCGCCGTGCGGAAATGGCTGCCATTTTTTTTTTTTTGGAATGAGATAGGCAAATTCTGTCCATTCTTTTTTCAAGCCGACACCTGGGTGCAACTTTTATGTAAGTAAAATTTTTCAATATGGCGAATATTTTTTTTTTGCTCCAGACCTTAGCAGAGGTACTTTTCCAAAATTGCACTTTTCACACTTTTTTTATCAATTTTTTAGAGATAGTAAATGTTTGATTTCTTGACTAGCTTTATACATAATAGATAGTAAAAATGTTGAAGTTTACCTCACTATTTTTAGTTTTGCTATATTTTGATTAGTTTAGCTGCTACAACATTTCCACCGAATGTGGGATGTGTGTCCCTATTTACCTCGCCCGTCCCTTTTTTACCCTGTTTGACGGTATTAAAAGTTAGCGGTTAGCGGCAAATTCCGCTACATTTTTTGGTGATTTATCAGTTTAGCGTTATCAAAGCTAACTTTTCAGTTAGCGGATTAGTGGTTATCAAAGCTAACTTTTAGGTTAGCTGTGCCCACCACTGTCTATATTCATTAGTGTACAAAACTCATGATAGGGTTAATCTGAAGATCCTAAGAGGAGTTGACACAAAATTTGGGTGATGTGCACAGTGACACGTTTTAAAAGTGTGAATTGAGAAATGGTGGCATTCTGCTCATCATCCTGGCCCTGCCCATAGTCATGAAACCTAATCTGAAGGTTTAGGAAGGCCAAGATTTAGGCTCTGAAGAATTAGGGAAGGCTCTGAAAAGGCTAAAAATAGAATTACCATATTATTAATGTGATATTACTGTATCCATGGACATGCCATTGAGCATTAACAAGAACCTTGTCCACTGCAAGCTTCATATCAGCAGCCATGTAGCATTTCTTCTGTATCTGTAAGCTTACAGGATGGTTTGTAATTTTGCACAATTTTAATCGAGTCTAGTGATTTCACTATAACAAAAAAGATCAGGAAAAACGTACCTGAAACAGAAAATAATGTTTTAGTGACAACCATCATATGTTTTGAAGAAATAAATCATAGTTTAGGTCAATTACTTTTCATTCTATGATGCCTGGTGCACAATTCTATGTATAGCATTCTATGTACAATTTTGTGATTACCAATGATGCACTAATTTTTCCATAAGTGAATTTTTTTTGCCAAGCGATGTAAAGGTAATCAAAATTCTTTGTTGTTAATCAATTTTTTTGTTAACTGGAGCCTTTACTAACTGAGGTTCTACTGTAAATGCATTTTAAAGGGTGTCCCTAATTACCCTGGGGGGTGTCCCGAGTAGCCCCGCCGTGCAGAAATGGCTGCCATTTTCTTTTTTTGAATGAGATAGGCAAATTCTGTCCATTATTTTTTCAAGCCAACACGTGGGTGCAACTTTTATGTAAGTAAAATTTTTCAATATGGCAAATATTTTTTTTTTGCTCCAGACCTTAGCAGAGGTACTTTTCCAAAATTGCACTTTTCACACTTTTTTCATCAATTTTTTAGAGATAGTAAATGTTTGATTTCTTGACTAGCTTTATACATAATAGATAGTAAAAATGTTGGAGTTTACCTCACTATTTTTAGTTTTGCTATATTTTGATTAGTTTAGCTGCTACAACATTTCCACCAAATGTGGGATGTGTGTCCCTATTTACCTCGCCCGTCCCTTTTTACCCTGTTTGATGGTATCAAAAGTTAGCGGTTAGCTGCAAATTCCGCTACATTTTTCGGTGATTTATCAGTTTAGCGTTATCAAAGCTAACTTTTCAGTTAGCAGATTAGTGGTTATCAAAGCTAACTTTTAGGTTAGCTGTGCCCACCACTGTCTATACTCATTAGTGTACAAAACTCATCATAGGGTTAATCTGAAGATCTTGAGAGGAGTTGACACAAAATTTTGGTGATGTGCACAGTGACACATTTTAAAAGTGTGAATTGAGAAACGGTGGCATTCTGCTCATCATCCTGCCCATAGTCATGAAACCTAATCTGAAGGTTTAGGAAGGCCAAGATTTAGGCTCTGAAGAATTAGGGAAGGCTCTGAAAAGGCTAAAAATAGCATTCTTTTTAGTCAAACTTGATTTAACAATGTATATTATAGACACAAGCAAAAGGCAGTTTATTATGAAATATTATTTAGAAATGGTGGTCTACCCATATATGTTTTTGGGCACATAGACCCTTGCTTTTTTAAATGTTGAATTTTTTATGTAGGTACTAAGCTGACTTCTGCTAGAATTCTTCTAAGAGTTTGTCTAGTCTTTAGAGTGACTTGCAAACTGATTGCATCACCATAGTTGGAGTTACATTAATGATGGTACTCTCACCTACCATGTATATGTACAACTAAAAGATTGCTATTTCTTAAAGGGGCTTCTATTACTAGAAATTTTTTTAGAAAATGATAAAATTGAGAGAAAAAGCACAAAAACTATTCCCTCTGTACTGTGATAAATAGTTTTATTGAATGACAATTATTTAAAACTTTCCTGACAGTTTGTACACTGCTACAGTATACCTATTCACCCTTCTTGGTTGTGCTCATCACCAGCTTATTTGAGTCAAATTCTGCATTCAATTTATTTTTACTTTGTCAGTTGATATTCTGGAGTGAATGGTTTTATTAATACAAGAATACCATTTGAAATTGGCCAATAAATAGAAAATAGGTAAATGGGAATTTACTACTGAAATAAGACAACATTTCTCTACTTGTTGGTCAAACTGTTCCAAAAAAATTATTGCTTGATCATTATTGTGTCATCTAGGGTTGAAATTTATGCAAGTTTATGTCCTAAATCAATTTTGGACATATGGCTAAATAATGTCTAGGTGAGAGATTTAATCAATTGAGATTTCACACTCTAAACTTTTAACAATGGCAACCAGTATATGACAAGCATATTATTTGAATTACCTATGTTATTCTGTTAGAACCACATAAATTTACATTTCGGTGGCATCAGTGGAAGTTTGTGATGGTCAAAATGCCACTGCATTTTAGCATTGCCATCAATCAAGCACCTTGAGCATGACTATTTGTGTGTTGATTTCTAATTGGAAAACCTTAGTTGAACTAAATCTTTCCTTCCTAATGATTGTTGGAGATTAGATAATTGATAATACAAGTCTAGGACATTTAGCAAACTATTTCATCCAAAATTCTTTTAAGCAGAATGTTGTGTTGCCGATGTGCCTTCATGCCTTCAGGGTAAAAATATTCAAGATGAATATGAAGTCCTTCAATTGATGAACCTCATTCCAGGGCTGTAAAATTGCCTGCTTCTGGAATAAATTTTTCAACTTTATAGATTATCTAATATAGTATCCTTCAATTTGTGCAGATATAATGGCAAGCAATAGTAGTGATAATATTCAAGAAATATCATTAGATGGCCATGAGCCAAAATCTGAAAGTCTCGCAAAATCTCTTCAGGGAGATGATTTTGGAGTAAATGAAAATTATGTCATTGTGGATATTGGAGCAAATCTCACTAATAAAAAATTCACTAGAGATTTGGATTCTGTTGTGAGTAGAGCTCAGGATGCTGGTAAGTTTTGTCTTTAGGCTTGTGCAATATCTCCTTATTATATTTTCTTTTAGTGGGTTATCTTTATTCCAAGATCAATGTTATGTGCATGTCTAAACTGGAAATTTTGCTAACCAGCGGCTGTTGAGGTCAAATTTTTCTGATTTTATATTTTGTATGAAGAAATTATTCATACCTATATTATCAAAACATTCAGCCCAGGCAGAATTCCCTGCAGTTAATTTCAAGTGTGACTAATATATTTTCATATAAATATTTAATAGAAGTATTTGTATTCTTTGTTCTTTTGTAATTTTTGATCTAGTTTTGCCTTTGCAGGAGTGACTAAAATTATTGTGCCAGGCACAACTGTACATAGCAGCAAGGAAGCTCTGCGGCTAACTCACCTCTACCCGGGGGTACTCTACTCAACTGCAGGCAAGTCATTCATTTTAGCATTCATTTGAGTAATGATTGTATTTATTAAATTGTATGTTGTAATGGGACTTATTTATTTTTGGATGATGAGGTGAGGGAAGTTCTTCAAGGTTCTTAAAAATTTTCAGGGAAATTTTATATTGGCCTCACAACTCCTCTTGAAGCTGTCATTGTTTATCAGGCTTTTTTGTCATATTTTTATTACAACTTTATTTTATACATGGAAAATTCAATAACAACCAAAATAAAAACACACAATTACTAACTGACAATTCATTCCTGAATCAATTCAAACATCAATGTTGAAATTTTAAAATGCATATGCTCAATTAGTAATGGGATTGCATAATATAAATAAATATCTATATAATATATGTGTATATGTTTCATAACAGTAACATCAAATCAAACTGCTTTGCTAAAATCTTCATTAAGAATTATCTTGACAAGGATTAAAGCTGATCTAACTTTGATGATAGCTGATCAAACCAAGAACCACTGATGTGAATTATGGTCTGAACTGACAATTTTACAGGTAATATTAAACTCATATTTCGAAACTTAACCTAATTGCACATTGAAGTGAAAGTTGAGTAATGGTAATTTCCACCAAACTCCATCAGCTTAGAGTGATAGCCTGTAACCATGTGTCCCTTGTGTTAATAATCAATGTGCTTAATTGCAGTTTATTTGCTGTGTCCTGGAGCATTGTACTAAAAATCGTTTATCCTTGTAGGACTGAGATCCTGTAAATAAATTGCAACATTTATTGACAAGTCTTTAATTCCCAAGTTTATCTCAGATGTTTTTTTTTTTTTGTTTTTGGAAAATATCACATTGAAATTATATGTAATATAAACACAGGAGTGCATCCCCATGAAGCCAAGACCTGGGGTGACGACACCCTGGATGAGCTGCGCTCGTTGTTGCAGCAGCAGGAGGTCGTCGCTGTGGGCGAGTGTGGTCTCGACTTCAACAGGAATTTCTCTCCTCCTGAGCTGCAGATACAAGTTTTTGAGAAGCAGGTCATATCAATAGCATATAAAAATCTACTGGTAAAATTATTGTTGAAATGCCTTGTGTATCTGTGAGATTTTATTTTTAATTATGTTATAATAACAATTTTATAGGCATTTTTTTATTGTTTTATCTTTAGGCATGCATTCTGTAATATTTAGTGTGATTTGTTCATACAACTCTCATAATTTGGTAAAAATTGGCATTTTTTATTGTTTCATCTTTAGGCAAGCATCCTGAAATATTTAGTGTGACTTGTTAATACAACTCTCATAATTTGGTTCAGGTAGAGCTGGCATGTACCTTGAAGAAGCCATTGATTGTCCACGAACGCGATGCACACGCTGAGGTGCTGGCCGTGTTGAGGCGGCACACTGCTCAGCTACCAGCCTCCGTCATCCACTGCTTCACTGGTGACGCCGACACAGCCAAGGCCTACCTTCAGTTGGGCTGCTATATTGGCATTACTGGTCCGTACTTCTCATGAACCTTCACTCACCTGTGCCTCATTAGGTGCAGTCGGTGCCCTTGAATGGCTGTCTTGTGATTGATATATTTAGGTTCATGCAATGCTTGATAAGGTTTACCACAAAAATGGGTGCATTTTGAAACAATCCCTCCATATATTACTTGTTTTGTAAATCAATTTCTAAATAACTTACTCTATATCATAGTTTTAACTATTTACCTTGCATCTGTTGAAGCATATTTTCCTTTGATAGTAATTGAAGCTAGTTATCCAGGTTATGCATGGAAAGATAAAAGCAGCGAAGGAGTTCGACAGATTCTAAACGATGGCATCTTGCCCCTGGACCGTCTGCTGGTGGAAACCGACGCCCCCTTCATGTACCCCAACACCCGTGCCTCCAAGCTGCCTCAGCACGTCAAGCAAGGACTGACGCAGAGGTAAGCTTCTCTAAGCCACGTCTTGCTTCCTCTCTTTCTTGCAAGATGGTGGTGCACGTTCTTCTTGATCAGGCGAGTAATTTCGAGCCGTTTTTGGGAGCGTTTAACCAAGAAATTCATAATGGATGAAACGAATTAATTCAAAAACAGTCTGACGGTCGATCAGCTTGCAATTGGATGTGATGTGAAAACTGTGCAGTGATTTCTGGCGATCATGTCGGATCTTATATTTATGGAAATTTGCAGTTTGCAGCCTAATGTTCATTTCCTGACAACTCCTGAGAGAGTTGCATGCAACGCCCAAACTCATTACAGGACTTTAATTGTCAGGTAATGAGACTTAGCAAAATCGGTGACGTACTTGAACGCTGTGTGCGGTCACCACCCTCGTGCAGGTCAGTGTTGCTGCGCACTAACTCTCACCACTCTCGCGCAGGTCAGTGTTGCTGCGCACTAACTCTCACCACTCTCGCGCAGGTCAGTGTTACTGCGCACTAACTCTCACCACTCTCGCGCAGGTCGGTGACGTTCCTGCAGCGTTACTGCACGTTTCAGCGAAACGAGCCGTGCTCCTTACCGGTGACCGTCGAGATGGTCGCCGCTTACCTCAAGACTAAGCCTGAGCAGGTTGCTCTGCAGTCCACCTTCAACGCCTTCAAAGTCTTCGGTTTGAGCTCTTGAAACTTTTCTTCAGTAAATCGAGGAGATAATAAGTGATATGATCATATGATAAGTCCAGTAGTGATGGAGCTTGCTTGTATATGTCGGGGGTTTCTACATCGTCCGTCAACATGTTCAGTCAAAGGCAAGTTTTCCTTTATTATATCATGTCAAGAATTGAGTTTTTTTTGCGCTGTCTTCATAGGTTGATTTTATCCGCGTTGAAACTTTCGAATACAACAAGTGGACCCGGAAAAACTTTCTTGATCAATGGAATTGAATTTTTTGTTATATTACAAACTCTAAGTTGTCACTCATTCGATAAGTATCGAAAATAACTCGCTTGAATTTTCGAAAGAACATGAGCTGCTGCCTCATTTTATTATCTCTCTGCATTGTTTTTTTATTTGTGTTAATTTGAAATGAGGCGTCCATGCCAAGTTAATTCTGGCGTTGAAGGACAAAAATTTCGATTACGTTACATGAATGCGTGCCAATTGGATGAATTTATGTCTTCTGTGCAATACTCGGTGGGTTTAATGCATCGCTTTCCCGTGATCGCTTGCTCTCTTATGTTATTCGATTTATTTTGTTAGTTTCAATTTGATTGCTTAGCATAAATTCCTAATTTATAATATTATGTGCGATTGGTCTTCGAAGATGTTTGTCAGTCGTCATTGTTCTATTAAAACTGACCGTTGTGCAGTCTCCACAATAAATGTTATTTGATCAATTAATTTACTACGATAACATTTATTTGTACGATGTTTGGTTCTGTGACGTCTCGTAACTAAGTTATTTGTTCCTACTTGAAAAGTCTTGCTTGTGATTGATAAGAAATTTTATTATTATTATAAGGCTCTATGCTTTAGTTTAGATCTTACTGTTGAAACTTACATTTAATATGGATTAAAGTGATGCAAATGATGATAGCCAAATTAGTATCATGGAATAAATTCTTACTGGTAATTTATTATCATCATGTTGGTAGTGGCAGACATGATGGCGAAAAAGCTATTCAATTTCCTGTATGATAATTCCTCAAGATTTAACTAACTATTAAACAAGATAGCTGAGGAGCTGCAATCAAGCTTAGGGTCGTATAACGCTCCGGCAACAATCTTGTTGTAATTATAATTGAACGAACAATTTCCTTATACTGCGTTCGCTCGATCAGTTAATGATGTATAATGGCTACAATTTAGTTATCATTGGTCGTATGGGCTTTCCCGTGATCGTCACGAGACTGGGCGCAGGTTAGTTTAAAAGATTCTCCGCAAGTTGACAATGGACCTAGTACGATACAACAGACCTAGCAGTGCGTGACTCAAGGAATCTGAACGCCTCGTCTAGTCTAGTTGCCTTGCTCTCTTCTTCATCATATTCAGGAGATGTTCGTGAATGTCATGCACTGCTTATCCTCATGCCCGTCACAGCTGCGACACGTAAAAGTCTGAACAGAGCCAGTTTTATGTATTAATAAATACTCTCAAAACTCTTGATAAGAATCAACTTGGAATGATAATCTTATATCGCTTTACTCCAACATGACGCCAGGTGACTGACGCAGCTATATTTTCGCTCACTGCCAAGTCCACCGCCTCCCACTAGAATATTTCAAACGGGAATGCTGTTGCCCGTTCGCTGGCTAATTACAGTATTTATTATCTTGATAGCTAGACGGTGCTGATGCTTAAGCAATGGTTAACTCTAATTCTTCCAACGGCTTCACTATCTTGAAAACTACAGGATTGCTATGTATTGGAGGTGCAAGAGTTGCCATCGAATATCAGAAATGCCATGTCTTCCAGTTGATTACGCCTTAACAGTGCCTTTTTCGCCGTGCAACTTTAACGCTAGTGTCTGTATCGCCTTTTATGGTTAAATGTTTACGCAATGTCTGTAGTAGAATGTGATCTATCATGTGTAATACTATAATCAATCTCTAAAACTTGCCTCCTACTTTGTGGTATTTACAGAGGTTGGACAAAATAAGGGAAACGCCTGACATTTTGATATCGTAATTTTTGAACATGTTACATACAATAAATACGTTGCACATTTTTATTGTTGCTGCTTTATTTTTATCATTGCATAGATATTTTTAGTAACTTTGTGCGTCTATAACCTAACCTATAAATGGCAAACCTCTCCGACTGTTTGAGAGAGCAAATTGTTGGGCTGGTGCTAGTGTTACAGAAGCTTTTCGAATGCTTGATGCTTCTAGAGGTGCTGTCTCAAAACTAATGACTGCTTTTGAAAGAGAAGGAAAAACATCCTCAGCAAACCAAAGGTCTGGCCGAAGTCGAAGTTGTCTGAGAGAGACCTTCAGTACCTAAATCGAATTGTGAGGGACAATCGAAAGACCACGGCTGTTCAAATAACTGCTAACCTCAATGGACACCTAGGCGATAATTGCCGTAAAAGGTGGACCCACAACATATTAGAATGTATTTGTGGATTTCTCAGGTGCCTCCCTTACTTTGTCTAACCCCTATACATTTGCTCTTCTATTAGTGCATAAGGTGGATTGCCATATCGGTCACAGCGATTACATGCGCTGAACGTATTAGATTTGGCAGCTCATGTATATGTTCGCGTGTTCAATTTTTACGCTGAATATGATTGCTATTATTATTTTATAAATATTTTATTTTTCAATTTAGCCGAATGTTAATCACCCAAATAGTCTTAGCTAATAAGTAAATGCCCCGTCGAGTGGCCTAGTGTGTTCAGCAAGCAGGTTAAATTGAGGACTCGCTTCACGTTCAGCCATCTTCTACATTTGTGCCCTGTTGGTGCATGATATTCCAAAATAAAAACCCATGTTTTTTCTTAATTATATTCTATTTAACATGTCAAATTCAGTCAAATCATCGTAAACCATGTAAGATAAATACTCACGTTGTAACAAATAAAACTTTTTTTACTTCCCTACAGTAGTTAGAGCGTAGTAAAGGATGAAAAATCAGCGAGACAATAGCGTGACAGGTTTTTTACGGCGGTAGTCCTTAAGTAGGCGGAGATACGCACACGGATTGCAATGTTGCTGCAGTCGAGTCCAAATCTTTTTAAATCTGAACGCAATACCGTCATGCACTTGAGTGTCGGTGACATTACACAGCTATTTGCATGCCTTCTGAACATATTACGTCTATCTGTACTGTAGTCAGTTGTTCTTTGGCCTCATATTTGGCATGAGTAAGTCCATAATATGAAATCAGTGACACAGCCAAATAATCAAACGGACTAGACAACAGGAATGACTAAATTGGTAAAAAAATGTAAAGCTATCTAAATAAAACAATACTACAATAATAGGGGCGGGTCAAGTCCCATCTTCAACTATGGAATGCCTGCAGTGAGTGACTTAAATATTTCCAAGCGCAAAGAGCATCCGTCCAATACTGGACAGCAACACGTGCCCTTTAGTCCGCTCTCTTCTGTGCTTTGCTCAGCAACGCCCCGGCTGACTTATGCCACTGGCTCAACTCTGCCTCCAAACCTCCGTCGTCGCTGTCGTAGTCACTGAAGCCGTCGCTGGTCTCGTGGCTGTCGATCGCTGCTTGATGTCCCGTCAACTTTTCGCCGCATGGGATTGACTCCTCGTGCTGCGGAAGCGGGTCTTTGTTTGTCATTGAAAATGAGTTCGTCTCAACAGTGAGTATTCCATCGTTAAATTTTGTGCTTGAGTTGTTAGATGAAAAACTTGAGTCAGGATTTTCAACGAGACATTCGATGCTATTAATCTGATCTTCTCTGCTAGACTCGACATGAGGAGAACGATTGATGGAAGAACACAACCCAAGTTCCACAATTGAAACAATTTCTTCCGGGCAGTCCACAACCAAATATTCGGTGTCTCTCAAATGTTCATTTTCAGCTTCAAGCATAGAAGCAAATTTTTTTGATTCCCGCACTTGGCCATCTGGAGGTTGCATGGCAGTCGTTGAATTTTTGCTGCTAAAGAGCAGCGGTCGCGGAGCATCGATGGAATCTGTACGATTGAGAGATGTAAATGATTTTTCATAGTTTTCTACATCATTTTCGGCCTTTACTGATGCATTTACGTCTTCGTTATCAGCAACAGGGCTCATGTTCCCGTCTCCTGAGCTATTCGACGGCGAATCACACTGACTTTGTGGCGCGGCCGCGACAACTCGGTGAATGTGAGCAGCAGTTCGCTCCAGGCGCGTCTCCGAGACGGCACTGCAAAGATCAGATGGTGGTGTCATCAAGTACTTATTCCTGCTCCAAAATGAAACGAAAGTGTAAAAATTATAGATTTTGGCATTTTCTATTAAGATCCAAGCGTGCTTTTTCAACAAATGGTTATAGCAAGATGAAGCCAAATTAATAATAGTGCAAGGAAACAGAAATTTCCGCACTTAATATGTAATAACGCTCAAAATTCATGAGCTGCATGCACTAGTGGCTGAAATGTAGAAAAAAGTGCAAACCAAACGCTTTTTCTTTTGAGAAGATTAAACGAATACTTACGACAAAGAATTGTTTTCAAGAGCTAGCGTCACTCCGTCCGCTCCTGTTGAGTGGTACGGGTAGAAGTTAGTGGTCATGGGAGGTTAGTTTTCACTTCATTAAAGGACGATTAAAACTTAATCTGCTTATTTATGTTCAATATATATAATACCAGTTGAAGATAAAGGATCATTTTATTTATCTAGGTACGTTAGTCAAATTATTGAAAATAAATTTTTCGAAAAGCCAACATTCAAAGATCATGAGAAATAGGTAGGTAAAGATATATATAGAAGTAGTAGTTTTTTAACATAGATAAGAAAATAGTAAAAAGTATAGTAGGTTTTCTCATTTGATCAGGTTTTGGTATTAATTGAACATCACCTTAGATAATGCAACGCAAAATAATGTGAGCCCTAACATTATTTGAATATTAATAGAAAATAAAAGTATTAAATTAAACATGGGCTTTAATCAACCTGAAGTATGAGGAAAATTGCGATTCCCTTGAGCAGCTCGTTGCAGAGACGCCAGAAGCTGCAACAAATTACCAAAAATCAATTACATTTTTGCTCAATTGTGAGCTGACTGCTTGCTGTCAACAAGGTGATGTACTACATCGTAGCAAACACTTCATAGCATAACTGTCTGTGTCAGTTACCATCAGTCAAGCAATGCTTCATTTATCGCATTATATCGCAATCAGCAACTACGACCACCTGAGAAATCTTGTCTAATGTAAGAGAAATGGACTCCATTTTACTGATTATATAATAGAGAAATGGATATGATATATCTGGTAGTGTTCCATGGAGTATATAAAGAAGCTTTGTTTCAGGGGCGGTGAATACCAACCTCGTAATCCGAGATGTGGGGTGCCAGCTTTGCTGCCATTCCCCTGTCTGTAGTCTTGAGCTTCGTTTCCCTGCATATTGTGCACAAGTGATTAATTAAACAAAACCACAGCAATTGTGATATCTTTCCTATCATCAAATTTCAAAAGTATATTAATAAAAATTCGGGTACAATTTCCTTCCAACTATTCCTAAGACAATTACAGCAAGTATTAACACTACTAATAATGTAACTGCCCGCACCGACTCAGCACAATAAACGAGACTAATTCAGTTTACTTTGTACGTCACCGAAAATTAGATTACGGTTTCATTTGTTTCAATGAAAAGTATTTTTTTAGTGTCTTTCCAAATTTAGTTATTACCTATTTCAAATTCTTCTCAAATTTGGTTATTGTACTAAAATCTTCATTAATTTGGTTATTAACTCACATGATAAATAACAACTTATTCCATTAACCCTCCATCCAATGGCGGTAAGTCTAGTTAACTAGGGCCGTACAACCAAAAATGGTTACAAGTTTGTAAATCCGACAGCCAATAACTGACGGATTTCCTAGCTCCACCCAGATATCATAGACGAGAAATCAGTCACTATGTGACATGAGCAAGTTTTGACAGTTGTGACATGTTCCAGTTGTATCATGTTCCAGCTGAAACATTTCTAGTTGTAACATGTTCTAGTTGTAACATGTACCAGTTGTAAAATATAACAGTTGTGACATGTTCCAGTTGTATCATGTGCCAGTTGAAACATGTTTCAGTTGTAACATGTTCTAGTTGAAACATGTACCAGTTGTAACATGTTCCAGTTGTAACATGTTCCAGTTGTAACATGTTCCAGTTGTAACATGTTCCAGTTGTAACATGTACCAGTTGTGACATGTTCCAGTTGTAATGAAAAGAGTAACAGTAGTTAGTCTTAGAGAGGAACACTGCTGCTTTAAAATGATGAAGTTTTATCACTATAGAATGAAAAAAAATTTAGTGGGTGAGGAAAGCACCTGCTCAAATTATGGAATTTATAGTGACAGCTTCAGGAAAAACATAGTATGTGAATATTGTCAGAATGAAAAACCTGAATACAGCATAACTCTGCAGTAGCTAATCATAGGCAAGTTAAGTTCATTTTATAGGTAATAATTCAGTCTCTTCTCACTCACTGTACTCAACGTTCTTTACTCACTTAACTTTGTAGGTAATAATTTGGTCTTTACTTCTTTACTTTACTTACTTTATCTGTTAGTGTTTCTAACTGAGCTATGAGATGGAGACGTTCTTGTCGCTGCCATTGCTGCTGCAGCGGTCCTGGTGCCGCAAGTCCCGAGCCACTCCCTGCCACTAGCATTGGGATCTCCTGACGCACTGCCTGCCATCAGAAACAAGAGATAAACAAAGAAGAATTCTAATACAATTCTAGATAATATATAATTTGTTAACAAAATGAGAATGTGATGTGCATTTTCCCCTTTCACACCAAGTGACCATCAACAAAAAAAAATTCGGGTCTAAATTGTATACATATTTTACTGATAAAAAACTTCTGCCGTTCTATGAACAATCAGATTTTCTTCAAACATTGATTTTTAATTAACAGTATACATCACTCAATCAAGATTCACATGAAATCAACAAACACCCACAGAAAATGAGACTCCATAACCAACACACAAAATTATTAGCCTATTGATATAGGTAACCTTCAAGTCTGTCTGGGCATCATGCAGTTTACATTTCAGATTCAGGATATCCTGCCGCAAGGCTTTATTCTCTCTCTTGCACGAGGACAGCAGCTCAGCCAGCACATTGCTGCTGCTGTGGGGGCTCTCACGCTCAGGACTGCCTGAGCCTGATTCCTGCAACAGAATAATTCTGTATGAAGTATGTAGAATATCCCTGATAAATTAAACTCTCCTATACTAAGATACTAGTTGAACCTTAAAAATTGCTAATTAAATCTCTTTTGGAAATAACAGCTAATCAAATTTTGAACAGCCAATCATTCATTCAAATGGTAGCACCTTGCCCAAAGTAAGTCATTTGTATTGAAACAAAACTTTGTATATATTTTTCCTGCTACTTTAAATTACCAGCGTTGGATTTGAAAGCTGAATGATTAACAATAACATTATACTTGAATCATTTGGTTAATGCTCACATGCAAGGTAGGCTTTGAGTCAGTTTGTGTTCCTTGATGGCGGGTATCTAAAATTCCAGCATGTTCCTTGACTGCGGCCAATTGTTTACGCAAAATGACAACTGCTCTACTTTTGCTGTCCACTGTGCACCGCAGAACTTGAACCTAGGAAAACAGAAAAGGTAGATCACATTACTCAATTATTTCTAAAAATAAACAACATTAATCTAACTTAATTTTCTCTCATAAAGTTCTGATAAATCATAAATATATAACGGTTATAGACCACTGAGGCATCTGACTTATTATCTTCTGATAAAGTATTGAAGGTATAGAAGAAAGGCCCTATATTTAAAAATAATTATAAATTCATATGACTTACTTCACTCTTCAAATTTTCTAATTCTAGCAGAAGGCATTCAGGAACATCCAAGAACTTTTTTTTAGTGTACATTGTAGACTTGAAGGTTAGTCATTCCACAATGGGAGGTTCTCTTTCATCACTGAAAACTTCTATGTTTAGAACAAAGAGGAGATTCACCACTTAGCCCAGGCTATCCCTGCAGAGTAGCAGATTATCTATCAACTCCATTATCCTAAAAAAATCAAATAAAATATTATTTTAGCATAACTGTAAGGTTGATTTTATAGCATTAGATAGTACTATCTAACAGGGTAATAAGGGACGGTTTTGGGCGTTTTTAATTCATAATTTCTTACCATGAAACACCTTGAGAAAGAGTTTGAGCTAATTTTGAAGGTCTTTGGAAGGGCTATTGTATGACATCTACAAAAAAATTCCATGGGCTATTTCTAAGGTGCCATGTGCAAATAAAAACACCTTGAATTACATCTGGGAATAAAGTAATTTGAGACACTTGAATTAAAACTTAATTTTAAAATGTTTGAAGCATGCAGAATGTACCTACTCATCCATTATTAACAGAACTCTGAAGTCCTCCTCTTCCATTGTAGATGATGTAGAATAAATGACATTTCTTGAGATCTCTACTTGTTTTTTCCTTTATTGATACAATAATACCATATCCATACATTATTGTATAACTGATGTGATATTACCATATCCATGGACATGCCATTGAGCATTGTCCACTGCAAACTTCAGATCAGCAGCCTTATAGCATTTCTTCTATTCCTGTACGCTTACTGGACTGGGCTGGTAATTTTGCACTATTGTAATTGGGTCAAGTGAATTCACCATAACAAAAAATATTGTAAAAAACATACCTAAATAAAATACTTTAAAAAAAAAACTTTTTAAAAAAACACGTTTTTCTTGTGGACTGAAAAGTAAAAAATAAATTATGGCTCACCCCAAAAAACGTGTGTCGGGCAGATTTATGATTAAAACGAAAAGCACACAACAAACGAATTTTGGAAATTTGATGGTGAACGTACAGCCCGACCCACGTTTTTTGGGGCGAGCCATAATTTATTTTCTACNGCGGTTTTGCTCAACATGGTAAAACTCGGGGATTTATTAACCGCATTAATCAAGGGATTGCTGTATAAACTTTTGCTACCGAGTATGGTATTACTTTAGATTAAGTGCATCCAAAAAAAGGGTTTTTTTTTAAATTATATCTGTTTTGGGGTGTAGATTAAGAACCTGAAATCTATTTTTGGCGGTCAGCATCGGAAAACCAATTTTTTATATATTTTCTATAGAAAACGACAATGGGGGACCCATAGGGAACCAGGGGTTTTAGGGGGGGGGACACGCCATAGGCTCTAATTTGTCAAAAAAAAAAAATTGGCAAAAATTGGAAAAAAAATCTGAAAATTTTTTTTGACTGGAAATGATCTATATCGATCTGAGAATGACTGTAAACCTATGTAAAACCCAAAAAATGAGCTAGGTTAGGTATAATAGCAGCCTACATCCTAACCTAACCTAGCACAATTTTTGGGTTTTACATAGGTTTAGTCATTCCCAGATTGATATAGATCATTTCCAGTCAAAAAAAATTTCTGATTTTTTCCAATTTTTGCCCGTTTTTTTTTTCACAAATTAGAGCCTTGGGCATGTTCCCCCCCCCCCTAAAATACCCAGTTCCCCATGGGCTACCCATTGTCACTTTCTATAAAAAATATATAAAAAATCAGTTTTCCGATGCTGACTGCCAAAAACGGAATTCAGATTCTTAATCTACACCCCAAAAAAACATCTAATTAAAAAAAAACTTTTTTTGGATGCACTTAATCTAAAGTAATACCATGTTCAGCGAGCAATGGAGGTGGAAGGTACTCAAGCTTTCTCCTCCGCTAATGCGTCTTGTTTCATGCAGTTCTTTCAATGGTGGGCAAAGAACTCACAGTCACAGACAATGAGATGAAAAAAAACTATAGGAACAAAGACACTTTGAGAAAAACTAGCAATGAGGATGCAGGTGCATCAGTGCAGAAGCTGCACATGCACCAGCAATAAATATGCACATCATCACATGTTCTCAGGCACAAGCACACATGAATGACTTTGATGTTATCTACCTTATAATTACCTTGGATTCATCAACTAAAAATTCTCAATTCAGTATTTAACGTGACTGCAGATTATTTTTAATAATCACTTAAAGTTCATGCACCTAAAAAATGAAAAATGTCTAACTTTCAAATTCAGTGCAACACAGGCTGGGAGCCTGGGATTACATAAATGGAGCCAATTTAACTTCTATGAATACCAAGTCAGTAAGTGATTATTTGCTAAATGCCATAGGTACAAATTCCCTTCATGGAAATGAGCCAGCATGCTAATGAGAAGTAAGCTACCAATACAATAACTCTAAGCAATAATTAAAACAGCCTTACACCAACAGTTCTAACCAGGGTTGGCAATGATTAAGTCACTTGATTTTTTTATAAAAAAAAAATCATGATTTTTTCAATTTTTTTGATTTATTTGATTTTTTCATATACCTATATAATTATATTGAGTGGCAGTCTTTAATTTATATTGAGGTATTGTTATTCATAGTTTAGTATAAATGTACTATGAATGACAAATTGGTATATAAACTTGTTGCCTTTAGTGTGTATTAGGTTCCAATAAATTGAATGTTTTTGGTACAGAGGCATCAAGTGTGCATATTGTAGTCAGGCAGTGTACATAGCTAGCAGCTTAGCTAATTCTTATAAGGCTATAAGTAGTCTTTAACTATTTGACTATTTGTTATACGTATTTTGATTACAATATAAATTTAAATGTGTTAGCCAGCTTATACAGGATGGGGCAGAACTGATTGAACAGTTTTGAGGCGAAATATAAGAGTAATGAGGTACATAAAGAAGAAAGTTTATTTTCCTCAAGATTAGCATAACATACCATTTAAAATACTTATGTTTTGAAAACAATATCAGGAAGATGGGTTTGTTAGCTGCATCACACTGTTGGAGCCATTCTCGGAAGTTTTCTACAGCACGTTCACACATATGGCGAGGTATGGCCATAACCTCTGCTGCAATAATCCATTCCCTTAGCTGTGGTAGGATGTGAGGGTAACTTCTGAACCCCTTTCTTTTAGATGTCCCCAAAGAAAGAAATCACAAATGCTCAAATCAGGTGACCTCGCAGGCCACTGTAAATCACCCCTCAGAGTCTGGCTGTCTGGGAACATGCGTTTCAAAACATTGAGTGACATTCGGGCTGTGTGAGCTGTAGCCCCATCCTGCTGGAACCACAATATTGACCTTTTAGACAATTAGAAAGATTTTCCACCCTAATATAAGTATTCTAATTAAAATATTTAATTTCAATCTTTTAATATGTGAATTTAAAACTAGAAACAAAACAATTGCAATTATAAGACTATATAGAAAATAATTAAATGCAGTGAATGGGTATAAAATATTTGAATAGTGCACATGTTTATTTCAAACAGTATTAGATTTTCTCATAACTTAAGTCTCGTTTCAAGTCGTATGAGGTTTGTTTGGTTATCATTCAGTTTTTGTTAAGTATTGGTTTATTCACTTTATTGTTCTGAATTAAATGGGAACAGTGCAGTCAGTCACTTAGTCACTACTAGTCGGTGTGTATAGAGAGTGGAGTCTGGTAGTTATAGGACATAAAACTAGTAGATCTATTGATAGTGCTGTGCACTGTGCTATCAGCTACCTATCTGTTATGTGACTCTTCAATGTTTAGAAGATATGCATTCCTGAAGTGTTTTTGTATATTGAAGCCAGTTAAATGGTCAATATTTAGCTCATTACCTTGCTCCATACAAACTTTACAAAGCTAATGAAAATACTTACCAATAATTGTTTCCCCAAAAATCCCTAAGTGGTAAACACCACCTTGGCCTGTTGGCCATTATTGAAGGCAATAAGTGCCATTTTTAGCCATCCATTATGAGCCAAATACTGTTATTGTTAGTAGGCTAATTGCAACATAAAAAATAACACTTCAAAAAGACAAAAAAGTTGAAAAAATCAAAAAATTAAATAAATAAATAAAATAAAAAAATCATTGATTTTTTATTTAAAAAAAATAAAAAATCACAAACCCTGGTTCTAACCCAAGCAGCCTAACCTCACAATTTTTGGTAAGAAACTCTGAAACTCCCTACGCCACAGCGCTGTTGGGAGGCAGCAACAGCCAGAACTCCATCAGTCCAGACTCCAGCCCGTCTGCTTGTTGCAGCTGTTTTCCCCTGACCCCCAGTAGTACTCTACCTCCACGCTTACCCCCTGGGCCCCTCTTCCCGCCTTTTTGCACTGATGCTGGACAGCTCTCTTGACTGCATTATGCTATGAAAAGAGGATCTACACGAGTTGTAACCCTAACTTAATCTAGTTTGGATAAGCATTAAAGATCTGAGAGGAATGCCTCCAGTCAGGCTGTCAGCCATGGTGTTAAGGTGGCAGTGTGGAATTCTAGAGGGATATTAAATTTACCAGTACACATAGCATATTGGAAAGCAGGACCTGAAAGCTAGGAAAGGCCAGGAACATTCCACTTTCAGTCCATCATATTTCATATCATATAAATAACCTATCACTTTCAGCTGTGATTTGTTAATGGAATTGTAATGTTATCTGCTTTCTAGCTGTGATTGGTTTATGGGGATGCTTTCAAGCTGTGATTGGTTGATGGAGATGCTTTCAAGCTGTGATTGGTTGAGCCCATAAGCCCCACCTCCAAATATGGTATATGTCTACAGTACTGGTTAACTAAATACTCAACTTGAACTTGATAATTACAAACAAAAAGCCTGGATAATTTCCAAAAAATCCATTAAATAAAAGAAAAATATAAAATGTCTATCAAACAATTTTACAACAAATCTGAGGTGAGGTACTGTACAATTGAAACAGTTTGTCCACTTTTGATTCTCCTTTTCATATATAGCACTGTATCTAAGGAAAGCATTCCACCTTGGGTGGAAAGCTTTTTTATAAGTGAACTTCCATTTCTAGAATTCCACCCTGTAAAAGGCTGTAAGGTGGAAAGTTGGGCTAAGTGTGGATGAAGAAGATACTGGCCTGCTGGGGGATACTAAGGCGGTGGCGGGGAAACAGTGACGCTGTTGCTGGGTTCATGTCTTGCAGAGTGAGTAAGGTTATGACGCATTTCTGTTTGGTACAGTTCACATTTGCAGCAATGCAGCATGGTCAGCAGAGTGAGCAGACCCTTAGGATAACAGCATGTGTAAGAACTGAGTCTAAGAAGCAATGGTATGGGTTGAAAATCATTGGAGAACGTCAGAACAACGTATTGACTGTTAACTATGTGCATATGTGGAGTAGCAGTTTGTAAGCTGAAGCAGTGTTGGTTTAAAGTTAGTTTGGCGAGATGGAACAATTGACTACAAGTCTACAGCACTTAGGAAGTTAGGTGCCACTTGCCAGGATGACAATATGTCTATAGCATTTAGATGGTTGATGTTGGCACGGGGCACCAGCCACCAGGGCTGATTTGAGCAGGACCCCCGTCCCCTGTGCCTGTCGGAGACACCACTGCTGAGTGCATTGAATGGACTGTCATGATCCCATCCCTGAACAACGTAGCCTACAGGCTGCAAGTCTGCAACACTTCTTGACTGTAACAACTTTATAAGCCGAATGCCACCAAACAGATCACATCCATTGAATTAAATCAATCAGCACACTGGAGATTGGAGAATAGCCTGACGTTGACGTAGTAGGGCCCAGGCTCGCCCAGCATCGTCTGCCAATACGCAATAAAAAATTACACCACATGGAGTCTGGACGGAGCGCGCCGGAGCCGTCCGCATCTGCCCCGTGTGTCGAACTCGAACCAGCCTATGGTTGAATGGCCACGCGTCGTACGACGATAAATTTTGAAACAGAACTATGCTATCTGAAACCTAACCCAGATGCTGTGAGCTAAAAGTTACGTAATTCAGCGAAGCTGCGGAAGTCGCTTGTCAAAGGACGATAGACTTTGGAACAGAACGATGCTTTCTGAAACCTAACGCTAATGTTGTGAACTAAAAATGACCGTCTGGTGATCAGGTGATGCACAGCGACCGAGTCGGCGGGATGCCTGCAGTTCCACTGGCGGGCTGGGCTAATTGGTCGCAGTCCGTTGTCCGCAAGCAGTTCGAGCTAAAGTCATGAAGTGATAATTCGATCATTTCGATGCAATGTTCAGTGTCAGTGGTGGACAACCATTATTCTCTGGACTATTAGCTTCAGAATATGGTCGCGGAAAGCTACTAATATTTAAAGCAAGATGATGTCACGGGCCGGTTACCGACGGATGGCTTAATCCTTGGCTGATTGGTGGTCATCCGGAAATATGTTAAAAAAAAAAATAAATACCTAAATAAATAAATCACAGTGACAAGTTGTTTAATGATGTGGCCAGGGTTTCATGAAAAATAATGTAACTTTAATATACAAGAGATGATAATAGTGAACTTAGAACTAAAATGATGGGATTTTAACTACCGTACCTAATTCAAACCTTGGCTGGCCCACAAACCTACTCCTACCTACTACCTCTTCTCGTGGAGAGAAGAGGAGGGGGGAGGGGCGAGAAAGCCAGCCGGGTTCTTGACTCTGGACGGAACCCTCGCTAAATATACTCGAGGTATATATAGAAGTATAGTCCAAGATCAAGTTAAACGTATATTATCAATTATTATTTGCCGGTTAACTTTACGCAATCAAGGGCGATAGACACTAGAGATGTTCACTCGATGAACGCAGCTGACTCTCTCCGGCTGCGTAGTGAGCGTACAGCGTACCCGCAAAATTGTACCTAACTTTACCCTAAATTATGGAAAAAGTTCGGACTTTGCGGATAAAACTATTGCAACGCTAAATAACCCCGAATTTTTAAATACAAATGTTACCATTATTGAGTATCTGCTTCTGTTTTGATTAATAGTTCATCTTAAATATTATGATAGATGATCTGGAATAAGAGGGTACGAATAACTATGAACGTTAGTAACTCACAAAAATTTAAAATAATTACGGTTGAAAGTTATTTTCTATATATTTTTAAGCATTAAATTTGTTGTAAATTATAATAACAACCTTTCCTCAAAAAATAAGTAGAAAGTGAACTTATTATTCTTAGAGAAATTGGAATTTATTGTATTTCTGAAGAGATATGAATAATTTCGGGCACAAGTGTATATATGTTGTGAATTTAAAGACTGAAAATGCGCTGGATAAATTTACTCATGACTTTAAATCTTCCTCCTTCTCTATTTTGTTATTATAAATCTATGTTATTAAAGTCTTTATTGTCAGTAATCATCACTAATAATATGTTGGAATTTTTTTCCAAACTGTTTTCCTTCACTTAACAGAGAAAACGCACTGCAACAACAACGAACAAAATGTTACCATATTTGTTACCATCACTATTTGTAAAATGTATACAAAAAATGTTACCATCACTATTTGTAAAATAATATACGTTAAAAAATTACTTTTTAAAGACAACACTTCTAAGGAATCCAATGTCTCAAATGTTAAAGATGTACAATGAATTTCTCATTCTATTTTCGAATATTAAAAAATGTTAATTTTTTAAAATATAGAATTTATTCAAAATTATTCATTCTGTCAATTTATTCATGCATTGCCTCCGACATCACACAAGTGTAGAAAATTTCAGATCAATTGGACAGGTAAAAATGTGTCGAATATCAGTTATACGTAAGATTTGTAGCTGACAAAATTATTTTTCAATTTTTTTAACATTGAAAAAATAATAATAATTTTAAAATAATTTATTTTGTCATTTGATTCTTGCATTGTCTCCAACTTTACGCAAGTGTGCAAAATTTCAGATCCATAGGATAAGTAGAAGTGTGTTAAATTTCGATTATAAGATTTGTAGCAGACAGACAGACAGACAGACAGACAGACAGACAAACAAGAAGTGAAGTTAAAATAATATACGTTTAAAAATTACTTTTTAAAGACAACACTTCTAAAGAATCCAGTGTCTAAAATGTTACAGATGTACAATGAATTTCTCATTTTATTTTCTAAAATTAAAAAAATTAAATTTTCAAAATTTTTTAATATATACATTTTTTCAAAATTATTTATTCTATCAATTGATTCATGCATTGCCTCCGACTTCACACAAGCATGCAAAATTACAGATCAATTGGGCAGGTGGAAGTGTGTCAAATATGTTATAAGATTTGTACCTGACAAAATTATTATGTCAATCTTTTTAATATTGAAATTTTTTTAAAATTTTCAAAATTATTTATTCTGTCATATGATTCATGCATTGTCTCCAACTTTACTCAAGTGTGCAAAATTTCAGATCGATTGGACAGGTAGAAGTGTGTTAAAGATCGATTATAAGATTTGTGGCCGACAAACAAACAAACAAGAATTGAAGTTAAATAGAAGTGTTGTAAAAAATGAATAAAATTCTTCTATGTCATCGAAAACTGCGTATTATGTACTAATTATTTTACAAATTCGATTTCATTTTCTTCATATATTATCTTTTTGCAATAGCTGTATTTTACACAGGAGTAATATATATGTACTTTAGAGCCTGATTCCGTTGTAGTTCAAAAGTGAGTTGGTAAAAAATTTGTTTAATTTACTACACTAAGTTCAACTTATAATTCTAATATAGATTTTAAATTTTGGAATGAGGTCTCAAGTTTATGATTCTAATTCGCTTGCGTGCTTTTTGAATCATTGCGAAACGCAATGATTCAACACAGAAACACAGAAACATTGCGCAGTTTGCTATGAAGTATGAATTTCTCCAAAAGTTTTAAATAGTTATCAATATTTCCGTTATACAATGATTACTTTTAATAGACAGACAAAAAAATATGTGATGAACACGATGCTCATTTATTTTTGCGAGCGCCGACGAGATTTTATAATCGAAGTGACGACATTCTGAGGCTTTTCTTGGATGACCGGCGTCAGGAGGAAGTCTTGCACTTCCAGCGGCAAGCAAGCCAGGATTGCCATGACGACCTTAGCGTGCGTGCTCGGGTTGTAGCAGAGCTGTAATTAAAACAACGAAGGTAATACAAAATCTATGCTTAAATACTTATTTCTTTAAATGCATACATTTAAGTGTAGAACCTCAAATTAAACGGATTCTGAGAAAGTTATATATAATTTTTATATAATCCATTACGGGTAAAATTATTTGTTTTACTACGAGTAGAACCTAAAAGAAAGAATCATCATTAACTAACCTGAGGACGAACACTCGCCACGGCGTGTTCCAAATCATCAATAACTTCGTAAACCTTATCCGCTGGCCTCTGGCTTTTCAGGGCAAAATCCATAAGACCTTGGATGCGAGCGTCTCTGAAACGCTCGCCCAGCGCATCCTTCACCTCCACGGCGGCTGAATCCCACATTCGCATGTAGTAACTCTTAAGAAGATTTATTGAGTCTTGTAATGAAATCGCTACCCTGCAATTTTTATTTGTGTTAGTTACCAATAAAAAGAATAAAATAATTAGGACATCAGTCTCAAGCTCTGCATTACAATATTTTAAAGGATCTCGTGGATTACCATTATAAATAGAAAATTTTCATGTGAAAATCAAGAACTTTTTTCAAAAGTAATTATCATAAGGAGATGATATGAACGTCATGCGCTGCTCACTGGTAGAACACTGGCTCTATGGTCATGACGCTGATGTTCCAGGGCGTAAGTTCTCTTCTAAGACCATTGCTGAACGCGATGAGCGCAGCCTTGCTCATGCTGTACGCAGTTGAGAACGGTATTGGGAACCTGCCTGCTCGTTATCAATAAAAGGATTGGGCACTAATGTTCAAAAGGAAATCCACTAAGATTAGGATTTCTGCTTGACCAATTGCGTCACATGGAAATTTCCGTAGGCCTGTGTAACTTGTGGAACATGTTTCAGTTTACATCCAATGAGGGAGAAGAGCTGCTGAGTGTCAATAACGTTTGCTCCTATCAATTATTAATAATTATTGTATTAGCCTTCCGAAAAAAAGTAGCTGAGTTTTCGTATGTTGTGACATTTCATCTCAGTTCATTTTATTACAACACTTCTCTTTAACTTCACTTCTTGTTTGTTTGTTTGTTTGTTTGTCTGTCTGCTACAAATCTTATAATCGATTTAACACACTTCTACCTCTCCAATCGATCTCAAATTTTGCACACTTGTGTAAAGTTGGAGACAATGCATGAATCAATTGACAGAATAAATGATTTTGAAAATTAAAAAAATTGTATTTTTTGATATTAAAAAATGAAAAAATTTGGTCTGCTACATAACTTATAATCGATATTTAACACACTTCTACCTCTCCAATCGATCTGAAATTTTGCACACTTGCGTAAAGTTGGAGACAATGCATGTATTAATTGACAGAATAAATAACTTTGAAAAATAAAAAAAAATGTAATTATAAAAAGAAAATTAAAAAATTAATTTTTAGTATTTCATAATAAAATTAGAAATTCATTGTTTATGTGTAACATCGCAGACACTAGATTCTTTAGAAGTGTGGTCTTTAAAAAGTAATTTTTAAACGCATATTATATTATTGGTATTATTTAAGCTTATTAGGTAACCATCCGTCAACTTATGTTCTCTTCGACGATCACCGATGATTGTCGGAACATCTTGTTTCTACTCACCGGCCTGTGACGCAATGTTGACAATTCTGCCCTGGCCGGCGGCCCTGAGGAGGGGTAGGAAGCTCTTGCACATCCTCAGCGGCCCCACGGTGTTCACGTCCAGGATATCCGTGAAATGTTTCACGCTCGCCACCTCGACGTCAGAGTGGAAACCTATTGCTGCGTTGTTCACCAGACACCAGAACTGGCGGCCTGGGTGCGAATTTATTATTATTTGTTTCTCAGCTGAAGTATTGCGTATTTTTCATTCACGTATCACGCTTCCATAAGTTACTGTTGACTACACCTGGTAGAATAAAGTCATATTTTGATTTTGTTGATAAAACACAGTCGGGAAGCAAATGCTATCCTGCATTAGTTCAAGAGTTTCTATCTGGCAGATAAAAAAATGTCGAAACTGACCATTTTTCTTAAGGTCTTCGGAGATAAACCGGACGAGCTCGTCGATGTTGTCCTGTTTCGTCACGTCAAGATGCACGACTTCGATGTTCTTGTGCTGGGCCAACTTCAGGGCGTTTTCCTTCTCAGGAAACAACACAGTTGCATACACCTACAACATGGCTAGCTTTAGACGAAAAATTAATTGCAAAACACAGCGTATAAACCACCGGTGAATAAACCACCTGTAAAACAATAAGTAACATGGATAAGTTGGGCCGTTCAATCATCAATGTTCAGATGCTCATGAAAAACTGACTTTTTTGCAGATCTCGGACCTACAAACGGCGTAATTAATTAAGGGATCTGGTATGCGTGATGTCTCCTCTAACCCGTTCATCACAACCGGATCAACTCCGCAGGTCGTTGATTTTATGCATGCCCAGCAAAATACAAAACAACACTCAAATACCAATGTAATCGGATAGTTCATTACATCACCACTTCAAATATATGCCAATCTTTAGTGAGATTATTAATTTGAAATTGACGGCTAATGTACTCTGTTTAACATTTACAGGTTGAAATCCGCATTTAATCTCATTATGAGCATATTTTGGAATTCGCTTTACGAACTTAACTCGTACTTGGATTTTTCCTTTCCCGCCGTTATATTATTTATAAAAATATGCTACCAAGAAAAGCCTTTTTCCTGCCGCACTAAACAAAACTAATTCTATTATCGCTGTGGAAAACAACCCGTTTATTTTTTGGCTCCCTAAATCAGTGTCAAGAAATGCGTTACAGAATTGCGTTGCAATTAAATCAAGTAAGTACAAACATGTTTTTTACAATCTTCACTTACGTACAATCCTAGGTCAGCGAGCCGCCGTGCAAACAAGATGCCGAAGCCAGAATCACAACCTGAAAGAAGACAAAATATCAGGGAAATAAGTTAGCAAGTTCATATTGTGCATCATCAAAAACATCTAAATGATTGGTAAGCTATTTCACTTGCTCTCCAGGCTCCATGTAAATTTGAGAGATCAATCCAGGGTATCCACTCACTCTCACTGTATATTGCATCTCAACTCTCTAGGCTTATGCTTGCAATATTCAAAAATGTAACTCAGTACTCACTGCGGTGAGTGACAGAGAGCGCATTTTCTCGTCGACGAAAACTTGTCTCGTCGACGTCGACGAAAACTTGAGGTCACGGACGGACGGACAGACAGGCAGACAGACGGACATGGCGAGCACAATAGTGCATTTTTTCCATTAATGAGAAAATAAAAGGACAGCTGTACCTATGCGAGCCTAATTTTAATTTCAAAGAAGTATTTTACGTCACAACAATCCCCACTCAATTGCCTCAGTCAATTGCCGTTGCAAATAGCCGATCACGTATAAAATATGCATGTTTTCATTTATGTTCTGAGTTGAGAGTGGAGTAGCCGTGGACTTTTAAAATTTTAGATAACTGTAGCAAATAAGATTAAAGTTTTTTTTTTTTTGTAGATGCAACACTCTTGTGAGCTGACTTTTGAAATATTTCTCCGCTATATTATGTAAAAAGTTTGACCGAAAACATTAGTAACAATTTCGAAGTTAAAAAATTTTTTAGTTGATCGAGTGTTAATTTGATCAGTGACAGTTATTGCTCAGTTTTGTAGAGGTATGTTATGATTAAACAGAGTATTTACTATTCATTTTTAACAATTATCATTTCATTTTATCGCAAACTTTTAATAATAGAATAGTAGGCTGCTAATAAAATTTTCTGCAATATCATCAATGAAAAAAATATTCTAAAACCTTACGTCTACATTGTCAAATCCGCATGATTACGAAGAGAGTTAATTAGTTCTACGATTCAATTTGTTTGAATTAATAAAAAAATATTATAAAACCTTACGTCTACATTGTCAAATCCGCATGATTACGAAGAGAGTTAATTAGTTCTACGATTCAATTTGTTTGAATTAATCCGATGCTCTCAGATTGTTCTATTCTTTGAATATTTATAGTCGTAAGTAAAAATGTCACTTGTTTGCTTTAATCGCAAATTCACCAAAAACTTAAAAGCAAAGAAAACTCCACAAAAATTCATAGTATCTTTAAAGAAAACGTTTCGGAGTCCAGCTCCATCGTCAGTTCGAAACTAGACTAGTCGAACTAGTTCGACGGAAACTAGTTCGAAACTAGTTCGTCAGTCGTGTTCCAGAATTTTCGAACTGACGATGGAGCTGGACTCCGAAACGTTTTCTTTGAAGATACTATGAATTTATGTGGAGTTTTCTTTGCTTATAAGTTTTTGGTTTATAGTCGTATAATTAGTTCACTGGTCTCGTATTTAACTTGTTAGAACGAAATAATTTCAGACAATACTGGATAAAAAATATGTGTTCAAAATCATGTGCCGGAAAATGATATTTTATGAAAATAAAAAACATTATTCCTGTGCCGCCCAACTTCCCATTGAATGGTTAATCAATTATTTAGCGCATCAATATATGTATGATTTGGTATGCTTTCATCTTTGTAAACATAAAATCACCGTCAAATGAAATGAGTTAGTACTGTTAAATAATACATATAGGGTTTAGGTGCCACTTATGATATCTTCACGCACTTGTATGTTGAGTTCATTTTTCAATATTTTGATTTACGGGGAATTCAGGAAGACACTTGAAGTTGTGTGATTTAAACCGTAAAGATTTTGGGATTGAAATTTTTCAATGTGGTGTTTTGAAGTATACTTTGAAGTCCTGATGATGACTCTGTATTTTCTGACACCAATGTTCAAGAAATAAGATATTTTACATGACCCTAATTAAGCAAAGGTTCTTTGATGGAATTGATGGGAAGTGACAATGTTAAAACTTAACACTGTATTAATTTGACCAGAGAATAGATTGAAATTTACCATGAAATTTCTTCTGTAGGTAATATTTTATTGTTTCACTCTAGACTCAAATGAAGTTCGTTTGTGGTTACAATTTTTTTCACATTTTATTTATTAGATGCTGCCTACAGCTAAATTTAACATACAACAAAAATACATTGTGTTAGCCCAATTCAGCGCAAATATGCATGCTTAAATGAGGTAACAATTTTAGCATTACCTTATCTTGTGTGATTTCTTATCGTATTGCAACAAGTTGAAAAGCGCGGTCAGGTTTGAGTTATATTAACATAACATAACATAGTGATGTCGGCACTGAAGTGTAGGCCTGATGTGGCCTGTCGCCGATTCTTTTCCTTTTCGTGCCTTGTTCACAGAAGATCTAATATCGTGTTATTTGCCCGGATCTTTTCATGACTGACAGAGGCGTTCGTCTCAACCTTCCACCGGTCCGTTTAGAAATAGAGAAAAATGGTACTGTTTTTAATTGTGTAAAACATTTTAATGAACTGCCTGATGACTTCAGAATAAACTGTTCCAAATCCATGTTAAAGGCAAAATTTCGTGATCATATTCTTGCTCAATATTAATTTAACGTTGTTTATCTTATAGTTTTTTTTTATTGTGACAATTAACTTATTTACTGCCTTTACTTTAGAATGTAATATTTGTATTATTTTTTTTGTACTTGTTGCCACTATTATGTTAATACTCGTCACCTATTAGGCTATTACGCCTGCGAAGCTTTTTTATAGCTTGTATAGGCCTTTCATCTGGAAGCATCTATTTCTAAATAGCATGTTTATTTTTCTCTTTCTATTGAGTCGTGCTTTGTTGCTTCTGTGTGTGAAAGAATAAAGAATAAACAACTTTCTTTAATGCAGAATGGTGGCCATTATAATAACTTGGGTGTCAATGCTGAGACAAGGTATGTATTGCCATAATTAGACTAAATTCAGAAAATTGATGTTCGATCGAATTGATCGAACATCAATGTTCAATCAATTCAAGGTAAATATAATCGTAAACCAACTGGCATGTCAAATGTCAAAGTTTTAAGTTCGAGCCTATTTTTGTTTACCCTAATATCAAATAAGGGTCGTGTGTTTATAGAATTTGATCCACCTGATGCAAGAAATTCGAGCATCAGGTGGATCACTAGTCTATATTGGCCTTCCTGCACAATCCAGTCAGTTTTTGTTGCTGGAACACAACTCGATAAAAAGTCATCATCTGAAAACGTTGGCGCGGCCATGACAAATTAACCGTTTGACCGTTGCTCTTTAAGACAGCTGCTCATGTTCTTTTCGCACTTCTTTACACATAATATTACATTGATATTGGACTTAATTTTCCTTCCTAACTTATTGAATTTCTAAATAAAAATTAGAAATCTCCTTTCTAATTTTCCTAATTTCCTTGATTTATTATTGCTAATATTGTTGAACTTTCTTTGCATTGCTTCTCATGTATCATTGGAAGAACTTTATATTTTCTTCCACATACGTCCTTTCCATCTATTATTGCGAAAATGCTGTTATTTTTGTTTGATTTTTGGCCTCGTATGTCGAGCAAACAGAAAATTTTTCTATGTTTCGGGCAGGAAAACGACGACATTCATAATGGATTATGTATTTTTTATTTTCTATTTTTCGTATTCTTCCACTATAATAGTGTTGCAAGAGCGCTTCAACACATATTAGCTACCCCGACAATAGTAAAATAAATCGACGCAAAACTTAAGAAAAAGAGCTTGTAAACGGAGTTAAAATCTACATAAATCTTTATTAAGGATTCGGCACATTACCCTAGTAACCAGGGGAACCCTGCTGGTCAGAAAGCGACTGGCGAGCTGCGCAGCTACAATACTCAATAGCACATTTAAATTGTTACAAAAAATATTTTTTCTAATTACACGGCTGAATTGGAAGTTTATCAAGGCAGTAAACCAAGAATTTTCATTCCAATTTAGAAGATATATAATACAATTTCTTATTAATTTTATGCATGATGAAACTTATGTGTAATTTGCACAATATTTCTTCTTTAACTTTGGTAGAATTTTCCAATATGGACTTGTCCTCACTTTTTTACTTATATGGGCTCATACTGCACAGTTACCAACTTGGCCCAAGCACATTCACATCATATGACGTTCATGCATGGCTTGTGAACTCCCTTTCGGCTCACAGTCATCTCGTCTTAAGTTTCGAATAACAAACATTTTCTTTAAATTTGGAGGCCGCTATTCCAAAATTGTAGTTTTTAACTTGAGGCTCTCGAGACAATACAAATAATAACAAATAAATTAAATGATAATATTATCAACACAGTATACATATTTCGAACGTCCTCTTCCTTACATCACCAACACTGCAGTGTATTGAACGCTATTATTCTACTTATGAGCAAATTAGGAATTCAGTTATTATCAAGAATTCAGTTCTCAAACTGACTCTCAAATTTAAATTTTGCATCAATTTCTGATTAGCTGATTAGTTATTGAATATCGAATGTTAGCCTTCGGCCGAATATTAGTAAAACGAGGTTAAAAGCTACACAGGGAAGCTAACAATTAAATGAAGTATATATTTAAATAATACACATGCAGTTATCAATGCGTCGATTGAAACTATATATAGGCTTCAACAAACGTGTGTTTCGCATGTCAACCTTTTTTGGGGGTTTTGCCAGGCTCTGGACAGACATGTTTTTGTGTGATGCCCTGTCTAGTTATTAGGGAACTCCGTAAGATGAATATACGTAATTCCTTTGTAAAAACTCTTCTCTTATTTCTGCAACTCTCATGATGTTTGGTAAAACCCATCGCGTTGCTCTTTAAAAAAAATAATAACTACCATAAGAACGCGGCACGACTGAACTTAAGTGGCCAGTCTAATCCTTTAGTAATACCGAATACTGAATAATGAGAAGAAATATAAAATGAATGCTGAGTAATGAGAATAATGCAGCATGATCCGGCCGCAAAAAAAAATATATGAAATATGAAAATATATACGACGATGGTAACACAATTCTTATGCTATAATGCCCGTTATTGT